CCTAAAGGAAGGAACGGAGACGTCACGTCCCGTCGCCACGGCTGCTGTACCACTGCTGAGCGGTTGGGTCACTGGCTTGGCTCCTCAACGAAAACCTGGTATGCGTTGCACCGGCTGCCTTTTTATGCTCACGCTGTGATCAGCGGCAGCTGGATGCACGCCAATGTGCATTGGCTCATTTAGTTTACACTCTAATTGGATTGGTCTCTCTAAGCGAGATCCCAATTCGTCGGTCACCAACGTGATGTCTCTGTTCAGTCCTTCAGGGAACGAGGGTTACATACGTAACCGAGATGTTCTGCAGATGTTTGAGCTTTATGCATAATCAGGGAAATCAAGTCTATCCACCCACCCATCCAAACCCCTTGGGATGAGTCTTGGAAATAGAAGTAAATGTATTTGAAAATGTAAATGGCCTCTCGGGACATAAAGTGATGTGAGTCATTGATGTTACCTTTGAAGTGTTCAATGTTCTGCTGAGAGGCCGGATCAAGCAGATTGTTTTCAAAGGATTTGTAATTGGTTGCATTAGTAACATTAGAGGCAATTTGCAGTTTTTTTCTTAATTGGTTAGACATGTTTTTTCTACAAGGTGCACATCTCTGCCTCTTTATTTCTACTTCTTTCATCAAAACAGAAGAGAATAGATTTTGGGATATTGTGAATAAGAGACTGTCAAAGCATTCATACAAACATTTTGTCCCGTTACAATAGCAGCGAGCCGAAGACAGCCGTGTTTGCCTTTGGGGTCAGGGTTCTGTCACTTCAGTCTAGTGTTATTCATGATTTTGTGACGGAGCCCTGACCACTCCCATCATGTCATTGTTTTCATGTGAGCGCGAGGCTTCGAGAGTGTCCTGTTTCCTTGTTTCATGTTGGAGCATGGTGTTTGGATTCCGGCACTCATGTCTTGTTGAGTTTTGGTTTCGTGTCGGGGTCCGGACACTCACGCTCCATGTTCTGTCTTGTTGTGGGAGCGTGCGGTCTCAAGTTTGCTCGGCCGTGCGCTCTTCTGTCCACGTGTGTTGTGTTTCGTGTAGCACAAGACTAAACAGGACATGAAAGCATGCAGCCGATAACACGAGCTGAATACAACAACAACACAAGACAACAAGAAAAGCATGTGGCCGAACACAAACCTCGTGCTTTTCTTGTTGTCTTGTGTTGTTGTTGCACTCAGCTCGTGTTATTGACTGCATGCTTTCATGTCCTGATTTGTCTTGTGCTGTGTAGCACGCAGCTTGGTTTTCGCTGGCTGCGTGCTGTCTTGTCTTGTGTGAACTTATGAGTCTTGTCTTGTGTAAACTTACTTCTTGGCTTATGAGTATTCTCATTAGCTGCGTGTTCGTGTCTTGTTTTGTTCAAGCACATGGCTTGTGATTGTTTTGCTGGCCATGTGCTTGTTTTTTTGTTTTGTGTGAGCACATGGCTTTTGTCTTTGTTTCCTGTGTGCCATGTGCTCTCATGTCAATTGTCTTGACCCCACCCATCTTGTTACCTGACTATTGGTTAATTTTCCCCACTTGTGTTTCCCTCGTTACCCTCCTCATTTGCTCCCTATTTATTCTCCTTGTGTTTGCAGTCCCATGCAAGTTTGTCATCGTACATCGCATACATGCTGTTGTGTCCTGTCAGCCTTGTCCTGATCCTGCCTTGCCTTGCCTTGTCTTGTCGTGCCAGCCTGTTTTTCCCCCACAGGGTAGTTTTTGTTGTTGTTTTTTTTTGTTTTTTTATTAATAAAATCCCAACTCCTGCATCAGTGAGTCCTCGCCTTATCCCCTACCCTGACATTCGGTCGATTTAAATGGCTCTAAATAAGAGGGTATTGTTGTTGCCATGGCAACATGCTAGACAATTTTATGTAATTTAAAGAGGGCTTGCTTCAGAAAAAAAGAACCATTTTCACCTCTGTGTTCTCTGACTGAAGACAATCATTTAACATTGATCATAACCACAGCATCAACACTTAGTTAGTTTTATAGGATTCTGTTGCTATAAAAACGGTGCATTAGATTTTATAATGCAATTTAATGCATTTTAAACATGCTTCCCTGCACTATTTAAAATCTCTATGTACATTACAAACAGCTGCAACCTTTGTAAACTCCACTCTGTAAATTTCAGCATTTCCATGAGGAACCTATTATTTGACCTGTTTGGTCTGCTTGATGAAAGGGGAAAATAGATCTATCTATCTATCTATCTATCTATCTATCTATCTATCTATCTATCTATCTATCTATCTATCTATCTATCTATCTATCTATCTATCTATCTATCTATCTATCTATCTATCTAT